CCTGGCATTTTATTAAGTACTTTACAGACAATATGGTAGAATGATTAACAGTGCATGTTGTGGAGTCAGATTGCCTGAGTTTAAATGCTGACCATTTACTATCTGTGTGATCTTGAGAAAATTACTGAATCTCTGTCTGTGTGTTTGTTCAGCTGAAAAGTGGGGATAATAATAGTACTGACATCATAGGATTATTTGAGGACAAAATGTGTAGCATTCCATAAGTATTCAATATGTGTTAGCAATTATTATCTCATTTGAGGCATGCAGATAATCTAATGACCCTCCTATATCTTCCCATTTTATAGGTGGCAATATGAAGTACTTAGGCTACTTGACCAGGGTTAACCACTTGGGTCAAACTCAGCTCTGTTAAACTCTTAAGACCTGTATTTTTAACAACTACAATATACTTTATTGCCAAATACACTGGGAACCTCAAATCCTTTTTGCACCTGGACAGAGTACAAACAGTTAAGTTATATATGCCTGAAAATAGCAATACTTCCCTATAAAGAACGTTGGGTTGCCATCACAGTTGCTAAATTCACTTACGATGGGCTCATATGGAATATGGTTCCATCCTACAATTATTTCTGGGTCATATTCTCAATCAATCATGGGAAGAACTTTAAAAAAAAAACCAGCTATGTACATTGTGAATCCTAGCAGTTAAACAACAATCAAACACTCAGAGTATCCCTTTTAAATGCCAATGTCTGTAGCTAATTCCCCTTTCCCTCCTTTTTTCTTTGAAGGGGTAAATGTTTCATATGGCTACAAGAGATAGATGTTATTAGCCTTCTAAATTCATGCATGGTCTACGTCAGGTTTTGCAATTAAGAAGTTCAGTTTATGAGGGTAAATCTAAATCTATGTGGACTGGGCATATTTAATTTAGAGCTAGGATTGTCTTTGACTGCTTGGTACAGTGCTGGGTATGCTGTCAGAGCACAGAATGTAATAACTAATAACCACAATAAATGTGCTAGGGAGCTGGTATAGAAGTTGACTAGACTGATGGATTCCATTTGCAGCCCTCTATTATTCAACTCCAATGGAAATTACAATTTGCTTGTAAAGATCTCATTTATTTAACTTCAATCCTTAAAAAAATTTTCTCTCCCTTTTAGTTATTTATATGTGTTTATCAAGTTTGTTTTTCTTTTTTAAATATAATACTCCTTGGAGGAGGAGTTAAAAGATTCAGCAGCATGCCAAGTAGAAAAACCACTACCATCAATTTTCTTTCCAATAAAAGACAATGCTCAGAGTGGTTAAATTCCCAGTCTAACCTCACTGGTTGTTGATGAGATTCTCAAAGGCTACTAAATGGAGCAGGGTCTACACCCAGAAGGAAGGAATTTTTATTAGTGACAAAAGTAAAAATTAAACCATCGTATGTGGTGATAACCAAAGAAGCAGGAAAGAGAAGTTTAAAATCAAAAAGATTATTTGAGGGCACATCTCCATAAAGTGGAGGAGCATGGCTCTTTTCAGAATGTGTCAAGAGAAAAAGAAATAGTCCATGTATTTCTCCACTTCCAAATGCATGTACTGGAAGAGTCTGAGAATCATTTGAAAAAGGATTAAGAAGCAACTCAAATAGTTGCCTCATTCAATTTTCCTTAAACTTTTTTTTTAATGATTGACACAGCCCTTCAAGAATCTGCTGAAAATAACAAATCTTCTGCCTATAAAAATACGTGAGCACAGAATTTCATAAATTGCAAGATCCTTGAAGTACAGCTACGGATCTATAGACCCAGATTGAGAACCAGGGGTCTCAGGAGCATGTTTTATGCTTTATGGGGTACAGACAGGAATGCTGGCCAAGTTAAATCAGCACTCCAGCTGCAATAGAACTGTTACCAATACTAACCACTTTATGTAGTTTTCATAGATTTCTAAGTGCTTTCTCGCATCTGAGTTATTTGATGTATTAGCCTAGAAGTAGACATCTAGAGCTCAATAGATTAGGTAAGAAAAAGGGTAATATTGAACACCTACTCTGTGTGATGTTGCTTACAAACGTCTGATATTCTATTAGGATTAGATTTTGTATAAATAAAATGTTCCCTCATGAAACATAAATACCCTTGGTTGGTGAACACTGAAGTGCTCAGCTGCTAATACCTTAGAATGAATATTTATTAGATTTTTTTCCAATGGGAAACAAAATACTTGAATTTTGAAGGTGTTAAGATAGACACCTAGATCAATAATTCTCAAATTTTTTTTTAAGGACTCTGTGGAGGCACATGAGATCCTCTCTTTGCCAATTATGTATCTGTGTGAATCTGGATTTTCTTCATATACTTCAACAAAAACAACATATTGCAACAGATTGGATGCAGAAGCAGACATGAGAATCCAGCTGTCTTCTACTAAGCCAGATTTACAAAGATGGAAACAATGCCACACTTTTCACTAATTTTGGGGTGGGGGGAGGAAATAGTTAACCTGTAACGCATTTTTAAAGTAAATTTACAAATATTTTAAGCTTGCTTTATCTTCTAGATGGTAAATATCAGTAGATATGACCCACATAAACAAAAGCTCTTTGGAGTACTCACCACACTTAAATCAACCTGAGATCAAAAAGTTTGAGAATTTAGTTAAGTTTCAAAGGACAGGTCTGGGTGGATGAGCAAGTCGAGTGGTGAGAGGGTGTGAAGGCAAGAGTCAAGGGATAGAGGAGAGCATTGTGCCTCCTGTCTTGGGGACAGGGTTCCTTGAGTGGTACTAAAAAGTGGAGAGGGAAAGATGCAACCCAGTCTCTCTTCATTTTGTTTGTGGCCTGTCCTAACTAAACACAGTGGTCATGGCAGTGCAGTTTATGACAAGAGATCTCAGAAAACAAGCAAGTATGGTCTGGAATCCTAAAACTGGGAAAAACAACAGCAGGTTAAGGCAGAACACTGAAGTCCTCCTTTTTCTCCAGTGAAAGTGGAAAACATTTTTGCAGTTACAGAGTTTGTTTTGCCAAATGATACAAGATTTGTTATCATTGGATTTTGTATGGTTTGATAATCATTATTTCGTATTTTGTACTTCCATTTCCTGGGGAAAAAATCTAAAAGGGGACAAATTGGTAGGGGATAGAGAGAAAGCCTAAATGTACCTGAAAAAAAAAAATCTTAAACATTTGCCTACTATGCACTAAGCATTGTGCTACAGAGTATATGCTGCAGCAGAGAGGAAACAGTCTTGAATTTGGAATGAGAAAAATTATCTCAAACCATACACTAGTTACACTGTTTTGGTTAATTTAGCCTGAGTCTCGTTTTCTTATCTATAAAATATGGATAATAGTATTTATCTCACAAGGTTGTTAGGGATTAAAAAGAGATTAATTTATGTCAATAGGACAGCATAGTGCCTTATACATCTTCAATGACTAACCCGGAAAGTGCGTGTAAAGGCCCATCATAGTCCAATAGGGGAGATAAGATAGGTAGACAAACACTTTAAAACTACAAGGCGGAAGGTCTGACGTGCCGGTGTCACTACAAATGTACTTAGAAAGTGCCGCGGAAATGTAAAAGAAAGGAGGGCCACACTTGTTGCGACCCGGGAAGATGTTTAGGGAAATTAGGGAGTGCTGGGTGAATCCTTCTCCCACTTCTTGACCCCCACGGTCGGTGGCTCCAGCCCAGCATCCTGCCCCAGCTCCAACTCCCCAGCGGGATGTCAACCCGCCTCCCGCGGCTTCCACGCCAGACTGGAAGTGCTCCATACTCCGGCCTTGCCCGACTCCTCCCGGGCACGTGGAGCTGGGGCGTGCAGCCCCAGGTCCCCAGCAGGCATCCATACCGACCTGCGGTCGAGGTCCCCGCACTAATCTGCGCCCACCCATCCCCAGCTCCGCACGGGTATTAAGTAGAGATGGGGAGAGGAACTCCCAAGTTCCCAGCCTCCCACCAACCACTCTCCTCGCACACTCAGGCACCCTCCGCCTCCCAATTCGCTCTCACGCCACCCGCAGGGGCAGCCCGGAGGCCCTGGACTGCGGCGGAGCTCCGACGCTGGCCCCGGCTCTCCAGAACTGGGCAACACCGCGGCCGGCGTTCGCGCGCTCGCTCATCGATTGGCACTGCCTTGCTCCTCCGGCTCCAGTCGCGGAGAAAGCGGCCTCGAGACTTGGAAAGTCCGGCGGAGCGCGGGGCGGGAACCAAGGCAGGCGGGCCAGGGGATTGCCGATAGCACGGATGGACGCGGGTGCCGGCTCCCGCTGTCTGGCCGGTGGCGGCGCGGGCTAACCTGTGCGGCGCGAGGCCCGAGTCGCGCGTCCGCCTCCCCCTTCCCTCGCGCTCGCGCGCGTGCTGCCTGTTCCTGTCCCCGTCCCCGGGA